GGCAAAAAACGCCTTACTATACATGGTCGTTTTTTTCGGCTAAAAACGCCTTACTATACATGGTCGTTTTTTTTGGCAAAAAACGCCCTACTATACATGGTCATTTTTTTCGGCTAAAAACGCCTTACTATACATGGTCATTTTTTTCGGCTAAAAACGCCTTTCTATACATGGTCATTTTATTTCAGCTAAAAACACCTTATTTTTTATCTTTTTTAAAGATAATGATTATTGTTTTGGAGGAAACATTTTATATTTTGATTAGATTTTTTAAAGGCATTTAAAAAATGTTTTTTTAAAAAAAAGACATATTTCTCAGAAAAAAAATTATTAACGAAAAATAATGTGGGAACTCATTTTTGTTTTACACGAAAGCCTTATTTTTTATCTTTTTTAAAGATAATGATTATTGTTTTGGAGGAAACATTTTATATTTTGATTAGATTTTTTAAAGGCATTTAAAAAATGTTTTTTTAAAAAAAAGACATATTTCTCAGAAAAAAAATTATTAACGAAAAATAATGTGGGAACTCATTTTTGTTTTACACGAAAGTCAAATAAGTTGTTTTATTGATTTGCTGTTTACCGCCGTGACTGAATCACGATAAAAAGAAAAACAACTTTTTGTCTCCTTGTTGGAAAAAAAAAGACATGTTAACCTGAAAGCCACCTGTTTTGTTGCCTGTGAGGAATGAGAGGCTTTGTCATTTGCATTTAGAGTGTTTTTTGTGGGGGGGGGGATTGTGTGTGTGTGTGTGTGCGCACGCACGCGTGTGAGGGGAAACACACCATTAGCGAGTTGTAAATAATGAAGAATATGTTTATTGTTATGATAAGCTTCTTATTTACACCGTTAAATCCTTATTTCTGCAGAAAAATCACAGTACAAAACAAAGACTGCAACTCAATCCTAGAAACATAGCCCACAAAAGTTTACACACAATTTTCAAAGCTAACAACATTTGGCCTTCAAAAGAAAATTGCTGTTAAAGTTGTTCACGGGATTGCCTCGCTGTCGAGTGTTCGAATCTCTGCTCAGGCCCTCCTCTATGAAGTCTATTTCGGAGAAAATACAGCATAAATTAGCGATGAAACGGTTGTTGAAGTTCGTTGTTTCACGTTCAGGATTTGAACTGACAGCTCGGGTGAAATCACCGTGGATGAGCAACAAACATTCTCGTTTAAGCGTCGTCGTCGCTTTGGATGATGTGGAAGAGTGTGACGTTGAAGAGCACCTGGTGTCCGTTGTTCCAGCCGTAGAGCGCTCGCTCACGTGCGTTGTAGTCCAGCATGGACATGTGGAAGTACTGGTTGTGGAAGGGGATGTCGATGTACTCGTAGGTGGACGTCCGGGTCGAGTAAGTGTAGTACACTTTGGCGCCGGTCAGGTGCGAGTTGGTGACGTAGAGCGTCCCGCAGATCATGAAGGCCTCGCCGGCGTTGCGTTTGGAGTACTCTGTGTTCCAGGTGGCGAGCGGCCGTAAAGTGTCGGGGTCCAGGCGGCTCAGGACCACGTTGCCGGCGTTGCGGTTGGTGGCGTAGACGGCCCACAGGCCCAGCTCGTCGGCCATCAGGTCGATGTCGGAGAAGCCGCCCCAAGTGTACGGGTAGACGTTGTGGAAGCCGGCCGAGTCCAGCGCCCGCTGGGTCAGCACGCGGCCCGTCTCCAGGCTGTAGCGCACGATGATGTTGCTCTGCATCTTGTTGTAGTACAGCGAAGCGTTGTACACCACGTGGTTGGTGCCCGCCCACTTGAAGGGCAAGCTGTATGTCCGAGACTCCACGCCCGACACGAAGTCCGCCATGGATTGGTACTCCTTGACGATCTTGTTATTGGTGTAGCCGTCCATGTACCAAACCTGCCGAGAAAGTCCAGCAACACGAAACACGTAAGCCGTCCATTTTTCTGAGGAAAAAAAAATCACTTATGTTTTTGAGAAGAAAATTTTTAAAAAGTATTGTATTGTTGAGGATTTTTTTTTTTTAAATAAACTTTTCCATTACTAGGAAAAAACGTTTTCTATTGAATATTTTTCTAAAATAAATTCCTTGTCCATTTTTTTTTTTGGGGTGGGGGGGGGATAAATCATACTTTTAAGATTAAAACATAAACATTTGTAATTGTAATTGTAAAAATTGTATTTTTAAGAATGGTTGTATAAACAGTGAGGCTTCATACCCTGGGGGTAGTATTTTCTGAGAAAAAAAAAGTCATTTATTTTTTGTGGGAAAAATATATTGTGTCATTTCTGAGAAAAAAACATTATTTATTTTTTGGGGGAGGGAATCTATTGTGTATTTTTTTGAGGGAAAATTACATTTCATGATTTTCTCTGAAAATAACTATGATCAGCCACAAATTCATGCCAATGCAATATTTTTTTTTGTTTGTTTGTTTTCCTGAGAGGAGGACAGTGAATGCATCACAGATATACTTTGCGGCTATCACCGAAACCTGCAGTAGCCAACGCACAAAAGTCAGACATTCTGCGAAGACAGTGAATGTCTCGCAAGTGCTGTGTTGCTGTAGCTTTCCATTCCCGAAACTTGCAAGAGGAACTCATGCCAAAACAATGAAGTTTCTCGGGGACACTGAACGCCTCACAGATGACTCACTTTGATGTTTTCAGGAGAAGCTTGCGGGTCTGTCATCCATGCGCCGAATCTGGTCCCGGAGGTCTTCACCGTGAGCGGGCCGCTGATCTTCAACAGCTTGCCGCATGCTGCAGACAGACGCGCACACACATGCACACGCACACACACATGCACACACACACACACACACACACACACATACACATACACCCCATAGAAAAAATATCACATACGGTACTCCCAGGTTGATGGATGGATGGATGGATGGATGGAAGCATTGACTGACTAAGTTTGCTCATGCAGCTTCTCAGGCGGTTTTCCAAGCTCAGGACTTTCTGATTGAGCTCGTCATAGTCAAATGTCCCCATTTGTTCCTGCACGGCCAGCAAGACGGACGACAGGTTCCTGATCTCTTCCTTGAACTGGGAGATGATCCTGGCGTCCGTCTTGTACTGCTCCAACACGGGGATTAGCGGCTGTAGCGAGTCCATCTTCTCTTTCAGTTCCTGAGAACATGTCAGCAATACGCCGGGGATGTACTAGCTTTCGAGACGGGAAGGCGAGACGGACCGGAGAGCACCTGGAAGTTTTTGCTGGCCAGCGTCCTCCTGTCCGAGTCCATTTGTCTGAATTTGGAGCGCAGACCTTTAATGAGGCTCTCCATCCTCACGATGTACTGGAAGTCCCTCTGAGTACGCAGGTTGAGAACCTCCATGGACTGCGACATGTTCTGGACCTGCTCGGGAACAACGTTGACTCTTAAGGATTACCGTTATTCCGAAAATTTTAATTTCTACCATCAATTAGACCACGACATTCAACAATCTCCTGTGAACAAACGGCTGAATGAATTCTCTTTATTGATTCATTGAAAGCATGTAATGTATCATTTTTAATAGTTTTTGCACACATGAAATTACGGGCTCAAACGTCACCCTCCTTGACCAGAATCTATGAAAACAACCCATTTGTGTTCAGTCAATGTCTCCTCACACCGACATAAAACAAAAACGTGTTTTGGCCAGCACAGAGAATGACTCAGCAGGAGCATGAGTGTGTGTCTGTGCGTGTGTGTCCACATGCCTTCTCCAGGAGTTGTCGCAGCTGGCGTCCTTTGGCATCCCGGGAGCACAGACTCTGCCCGGGTGCCACCACCGTGCACACGCAGCGGCCGTCGGCGTCCTGGGCAGAGCCGAACACTTGCCAGCCCTCCCGCGGCCCCACCGTGGTCTGCTTGGACACGCACACACACATACAAAGTCACATTTCAGGTCAATACTGTTTGACGGGCATTCGCGCGGGCTCAGTTAAAGGTTTTGAGACATCTCCACATTCAATACTGTAGCACAAAGCATCTCTAAAGTCTTGGCATCTAATATCCAAATATATGATGTTGCATGATGTTCTAGTGTATGACTGTTGTTTTATCTTATAATGTTGAAACTACTGTATGTCTTTGCTGTCTTGTACAGCTCACTCTTGGAAGAGATTTTTGACCTCAATTAGGTTTTTTTTAATGGACGAAATAGAGGAAGAATCATACATGAAAGAATACAACGTGTTAAATGAAATGTATTCTGTTGTATAACTCAATTGAAAGGAAACAATAATATCGATTTTATTCAGAAAAACAACATAAATTATTACATTAAATTACGTTTAAAAATACGTCGTTATCTCAATGTATTTTACTGGGTAAATTTAGCAAGGCAATTAGAAATTATTATTAGTAGTAATATTTTCATATATATCAGGTCATAAACGATTTAGTAATATTAATTGATTATATCAAAAGAAATACAATGCCAACTAAATGTAATCAAAAAACAGCAGAAGATGAGTACATTTAAATGCTATTAAACTACATGTCTACTCTTACTACCAAGTCAAATGTACTTCAAAATGACATCTAATCCCTTTAAAATCCCAATCCCAATGTAGCCTACACGGAAAGCAACAGTCGTCGAGAACAGACGATACAGACGACAACCAGAGTACGACAACTCATGTTGAGTGGCATCGAATCGCGTTTCGTTGTTTGGAGGCGTCAATCAACTCACCACAGACGGCCAGAAGCCAAACAGCAGCGGCACGACGACGACGGCCACCAACGGCGACTGCGTCCGCATCTCGGGGCGAGATACAACCGCGACAACTTCAAACAAGCAACAACAATAACGGAAACGAGCAGAGTTTACACGTGCCAGTCCAATCGTCCAGCCTGGTGGGGGGGGGGGGGGCGTGTCAGTCCAACAACACCCTAACACACACAAACACACACTCACACTAATTGAAAAACACGACGAATAATGTGTGTGAGAAAAAAAAAAACAGTCGCCGTCATCAAAAGGTGCCCACTCGTGACATGGTTCTGTTCACTTCGCTGGGTCCGTGTCAAGAGAGGCAGCTGCTCGTATTGACGCCGCCACGCGCGTGCGCAGCCCGGATCCCCGCCGCCGGCGGCGAGGAGACGGTCGGTAAGAAAAACAGGAGTCCTCGATTTACGACATTTTTTTTTCGATTTACGACATTTATTGTTGGTTACGCAGGTTCTGTTCGCGTCATCTCGTGTTTTTCATGAATTGTTTTGGATTTGATCTGATAAAATTGTCATTTAAAAAAAATGTTTTGTAATAAACGAAAATTTCCTTCTGTATTTACACGGATGACTGAAAGTACACACACGCACACACAAAGAAAAATGCTAAAATCACCTGGCCACAATATTAGGAACACCTGCAATGCCTTCGTACGAATGTGATTTATTATTAATAGTGTTACTAAACTTTTTACATTCGGTCTCGTCAACATGAAGCATGATGGGAATTTTTGGGGCATAATGTATGTCTAAATTCTAAGGAATCATTGAAAAACTGTTGGTTCGGTGCTGGGTGAATAAAAAATGGTAAGGGTGGGAACAGTTTTGTGGGAAATGGAACATTTGGCAGGGTGTGATGAATATTTGAGCAAAAAAACAATGTTGGAAAATGGAGAAATTGGTGGTAACTGGATTGCAGCATGATGCACAAGCTGTTTAATTCTTTGCTTTCTATTTAATTATTTCTTTTTGTTCATATAATTTACAATATCCCTGAGCAGTAATTTTCATTGTTAGAAAACAACTTTTTTTTAAAAACCAAACTTGGAAATCTTATTGAAAATCACCCTGGACATGTTAACGATTAGCAGGGATAGTCTTATCATGGATATTTGAACACAAACAGTGGCGCAACAACCCACGTGTAGACAGACAATCTCAAAAACACTCCCTGTGAAAAACTGACTAATATTGACACATCCAGTTTCAGAATCCAGTTTTAATATTTTTTTAAAGGCACACAATAAGTCAACAAGGCTGTTTGGTGGTAAATTAACACGAAAGAAAATTTGTTCTTGGGGGGGAAAACCCCCCAACTTCATGTATTCTAGAACAGACAAATATGGCCCACATTTAGGCTATGGATAAGGACAAGACTTTTGGACAATATTTATATTACTATTTATTATGGCTCGACTTTGCTCTAAGTCATGAAAAAAATACTAAAATGTCTTTAGAGTTGCACTTTTTGCTTGTTGTCATAATAGGCAATTTTATTTACAAATATTTTGATACTTACAAATTTCGTCAAATGTGCTTTATGTCCTGGTTGTACAGTTTCTTAACATTGAACAAAACAATTTACGGGCTGGGACACATGCAAAGTCTCTTAAGGATGTTGGATTCAGAAAGGCACAATATTGTACAAAATAATAATAATTATTATAATAATTACAGTTTCATCAAAAAGCAATTTGTGTAGCACCTTGAGTGTTTTGCGACAACGCACGTCTGTGGTCGAGCGCGTCCGCCTGCCACGCCATCAAAAGTCCTTTTTCCTTTTTTTCTTTTTTTTTTTCCCCCTCTTCCCGCTCCTGACTCGCATCTCAGTCACATGGTTGCGACCCCACAGGGTGGGGGGAGGGACGTGACCACAGTCCCCACTATCTTTCATCTTCTTTGCTTTGCGCCCGCCGACCCTGTCCATCGGTTGGGGGGAGGGAGGGCAGGGGGCGTGGTTGGAGGGCAGGGGGCATAAGGTGGGAGGCGGGGGTCAGGAGAGGGGTTTCTCAGAGGGGGGGGGGCGGGGGCGAGATTTGGGGTGTCTAGCCAAGGAAGCAGACGGAGCCGACTTCGAAGCCGAACCTCTGGTTGGAGTCGCCGAAGTCGTTGAGCATGACGTCCAGGATGGGCAGCTGGTCGATGCGAGGGGTGTTGATCTCCAAAACTGTCTTGGAGTAGCCCTGCTTGGACTGCACGCAGAGAAAAAGAGGATTAGGGTTTTAAGTTAACGTTTTGAAAATTACAGTTTCAAGCCAGAGTTAGGGTTACAAAAAGGATTTTTTGTGTTTCCATTCTGGGTTAGGGTTTCAAATTCAGATTTGAACTCAGGGTTAGGGTTTTAAGTTAACATTTCAAATAAGGGGTTAGGGTTTTATCTCTGGGTTTGGGTTCCAAATGATTATTTTAAACCAGGGTTTCAGCATTTAGGCTTGAAATCAGGGTTCAGTTTTCAAGGGTTACAGTTTCAAATGAGACTTTCTAGGACTTCGGGTTTCAAGCCTTGTTTGAGGTTACCAAGTATGGTTTCAAATTTGGGTTCAGGGTTAAACAAGCGTTTGCATTTGAAATGGGGGTTTGAAAATTGGTCTGTATAAAGGCGAGAGTATTCGGAGACTTACAGCGCAGCCGTCGACGAGCGGTTTGATAAAGGCACTGTTGTCGTACGACATCTCCTCGTCGTTGGAGCCCAGGAAGCGCAGAGCCTTGTCGTAGCTGTCGGCCTTGGCGTCGTACCACGCCGCCGACTGGTGGCACACGTAGGAAAAGTTCTGGCGCGCCGATGAGCTCAGCAGCTTCAGGAAGGTCATCTGCACGGCGTTGATGCTGTTCTCGGCCACGTCCACGTAGTTCAGCTATACGCCGCCGAGGGAGGGCAAGTCAACGCCGTACAACTCTCACATGCAGTCTGCTGCCATTTCTTATGAGAATCCATCGACATGCCACCGGTTTTACTTACGATTTTTCCACGTTTGAATTCACTGAACCAGGAACCGGGCGTCTCCTTGGGCCAGTTGGATATTCTGACCTGCAGAGGGGAAGAAGACTTCAGCGTCTTCGCACGGCGTCACGTTGCGTTCCGCCACGCCGTGTGGTGCAACACTCACCCCCGAGGACTTCTTGTCGGGATTGATACACGTCTCGCCGCCCGCCGTGAAGTTACAGAACACTTTGATGGCGTCTCCTACGCAGCCCTGGTTGGGATCGATCCAGTATTCACCTGACGGGGGGGCGGGAGCGCAACCGGGAGATATCAGGGCTGTGTTCAGAACCATTCATTCATTCATTTATTACTGCCCAATTCTAGATAGGGACTTTGATGTAGGAACTAGTTACTGCGAGTTAGGGAGCTTCACGTAGTTCTTTGCCACCATCTGGTGGTATCTTCGTGCCAAGGGAACTATGGTGAAGTGAATTTAGTAGCTGCATATCGGGCTTTACTGCATTCTTATGAGATTTTGGTGCCAAGGAACTATGTTGAGGTGAGTTGAGTAGCTTCATGTATTTCTTTGTAGCTGTTTTATTTGGAAAAATGACCAGATTAGGCCATGAAGTCTTCAAAACTCCTCCGGTACATCGAGACTAAGCACGCCTGATTGAAAGATGATCTTTCTGAGTTTTTTGAAAGAAAAAAAAAACAGGAGCAGTAAGGACAGAAGCTATTGCTGAGGGCCACCACATCAACAAACGCAAGTGCCCTGAGATTGGGAGTGAAACACACCAAGTAACAAGTCACAGCCCAACTGTTCATTGTGCTAATGCCAATCTAATGGCTGCCTCTAAGCCCTTCCTACCATCTGGGAAGTCGGGCTGGCTGAGGCGCAGGTCATTGCAGGTGCGGGCGGGATTGTCAGCGGTGCCCAGAGGGAACTTCATACGCTCGATGTCTTGCTTGAGGTTGTTGAGGGAGCCAAACACGTCCTCCATGGCCAGCCCATCGATGCTGTAGTCGTCGTCCGCCTCGTCCGCCTGTTCCTCGGCGTGACGCTTGTTCTTCCTCGACACACGCTGGATTGGCAGTGACTGGATGATGTCACCGGCCGGGCCCTACGCAGCGCAAGAGAATAGTTCAACCAAACTGGAACAAAGAAGGATTATTTGGGTGAAAACTGATCAAATGCTTGCATGCTAATGCTTGGCTTGGAAGCCGCAATGAGTGAAGATGAAGACTGCTTTGTTAGCTTGTTGCGCTAGCTGGTTAGTGTCATTGTATTTTTGATGCACTAAAATGGGACAAACTTACAGGGGGGCCAGGTGGTCCCATCAGTCCGGGGTCTCCTTTCTGACCTGCTGCACCCTGAAGGCAAAAAACAAAAACAGCAACACGGACACATTAAAAAGAATCTATTAACAGGAATGACGGCTGACTGATGACTGATTTTTAAAAAACAGAACTTACAAGTGATCCCTTGGAGCCTTTTTGCCCATGAGCGCCCTGGTTAAAAAAAAAAAAATTGAAATAGAGATGAGTCAACCCAAAGATGGAAATTGGGAGAAAAAAAGAGCAAAAAGTGCAACTTACAGGAATACCAGGAGGACCAGGAGGACCAAGAGGTCCGTGAGGACCCATAATACCCTAACGGGAGATAAAACCACACATTAGAATGTGATGAAGACATTTTATGGGAAAAAAGCCAATCTAAAATGAACTCACAGATTCACCCTTGCCACCAGCGGGACCCTGCAGTCCGGGCAGACCTCTGTCTCCCTTCTCTCCGGAGTCTCCAGGGGGTCCGATGAGACCGATGAGACCGGGGTGACCCTGTCCGTGAAGGAATCAGCACAAATTTACTGAATAAAACTAAACGATTCATGACAATACGTGAGTTGTAAGCAGAAAAATAAATGCTAACAATCTGCGTGAACCCATAATGATAATGTTTCTCACTGGACAAATGCCATGATTTTTTAACAAGTAACTAGTTACTGTACTGGAATACATTTTAAAAGTAACACTTCCAACCCTGATGAGAACTGATCTAATGCTAACATGCTAATAGTTGGTAAATTAACATGTAGAACAATTGACAATCCAAGTCGAGAAAGCGGAAAGGCCGACCAATCAAGAATTGACATCACGCCTTGCTGTCATTTATTATTTCTAATGGGATTAGTGCTAATTAGCATCAAAATTTTACCTTCTCTCCCTTATATCCAGAGTCGCCTTTCATACCAGGAAGTCCAGGTGGTCCCTGTGAACAGTCAGGATGGCGAATGTAAGTGACATTGGAAAAGCCCTTCATCGAGCCATTAAAAAAAACCAAAAAAACCTTACAAGAGGTCCAGGAGGTCCGTCTTTTCCAGAGGCACCAGGAAGTCCTTGCTCACCCTGAGCAAAAAAGCATATAGAATAGCTAGTATAGTATAGTATAGTATAGTATAGTATAGTATAGTATAGTATAGTATATGTAGAGAATATATGGAATAGTATCTGAAGCATGTGCGCTAGCACATGCTTCAGATACTGAAAACATGAATAGTTTAATCTTCATCTTGACCCGTCTTTCATAATCAAAATTTAAGACTCACGACAGGGCCGGGGATTCCTCGAAGACCCTCAGCACCAGGCTTTCCAGTAGGTCCTTGGGCTCCCACAGGACCGGTCTTTCCGGGAGGTCCTTCAGCTCCGGCTTCGCCCTGAGGGGAAAAACAGGTTGTTAAGGCTGTAAAAGACGTTTATTTGTATTCAACACCTGCCAAAGAATATTGCACCTGAGCCGTAAGAACGGATCAAATGCTAACATGCTATTATTTTGCTCGACTTAAATCCACGCTTTTACCTTGGATCCCTTCTCGCCTTGTCGTCCTTCCTGTCCCGCTGGTCCAATGGGTCCCTTCAGGGGGACAAACGCACACAATTATTGATGGCGCTATCATTTAATTCAATGGCCACTCGTGCTAGCGCTGACCTTGAGACAGATTTTCCATTCTGTTGGAAACGCGTTAAAAGCTAAAAGCTGTCCAAACAGCCTCAGGTCACCAGCACACTAGCGCTGTCATGTGCTGTGATAAGTGCGGGTGTGTACCCACGCACGCATGTTTGCTAATGATAATTCACAATACAATACTTTATTTCATCTGTATTGTATGCTACCATTATTTTTAAAATGGTGTATTTTATAGATTTTAATTATATGATAAAGAATCTTTAGTAAATACATAATTATTAAAAAAACGTCTACACACCCGTTTGCCAGGAGGTCCTGGTACTCCGGACTCACCAGAAGGACCTGGGGGACCCTAAATAGAGTAGGAAAAAGGGAAAACTTGTACCATATTTGGATTCAATACTTCCTGGTCACAATTTATCTTCAGATTTGTAAAACCGTACCGGTTGACCAGCCTCTCCATCGTCTCCCTTGTCACCCGCTAGACCATCAAGTCCCTAAATGAGAGATTTTCCAAACATTGAAATCAATGCAAATTTGTTGCCACGCAAAATTGGTGCCGCGGAATGATGGGCCGAGACGATGTTAATGTAAACACCGCCAGAGAGAATACTAGGGATTAATTCCTGTAGAAATGATTAATTATACTTACAGCAGCACCAGGCTCACCAGGAGGACCGGGGTCTCCTGGGAAGCCAACAGGGCCCTGCAGAGACAGTGAAAAAAAAAAAAACGACTCAGTGTTTTAACTTACAAAAAATAATATATATATCATTATTATTATTTTTTTAATATGGCGTCGAGCATGATTGCACATACAGAGTTACCCTTGGGGCCGTCATCTCCAGGGGGTCCGCGGGCCCCGGCGGGTCCAGCGGCTCCGGGCGGACCAGATTCTCCCTTCTCGCCAGTCTCTCCTCGCAAGCCCTGAACACGAAAAAAACCACACCACGGGGTCATTCTGTCACTTTAACAGCATTCACAATATCATAATTAGCATTCAAATTTGCTTACAGCTGAACCTGGCTCTCCAGGTGCTCCTGGGTTGCCGGCTTCACCAGTTTCTCCCTGTTGAGTGCAAAGCAAGAATTTGGTTAAATATGTCAAAATTCAGATACAAGTAGTGTAAATCTTCACATAGAATAGCCTCTACCAAACTTTATAACCCTCTAATGCATCCTGATAGAAATGGCACATAACATCAAACCTGTGCATACTACCCTACCCCCCAAAAAATAAAAATTACTTCTAAACAGGACAAAATAATTTTACACTGAGGAGTTGCCATTCCCAAACATTTTAGGCCATGCGCCCTCTTCATTTTCCTGATCTACTATAGATGGCACACCCCTTCCTCCTTGTGCACATCCCCAAAGTGAGAAAAAAAAAGCTACTAGGAGCTAACGGTGCAGAGTTACACCCTTGATCCTGCATCTTTTTAAGACATGTGCAAATTGAACAGCATCCCAACCGAGATTGCGCACCCCCTCGCCCAATACATACCACCAAGAAAAAAGTGAAATTAGCGACAAGAGGTGGGACTTGCTTCGAGCTCGACTGTTTATTTGATGCCTTTTGAGATGATCCACTCCCATTCCCCTGTGTGCCTTTTGAAGCCACGCTAAAAAAAGGGGCGCACCCCCGCTCCCTGTGCGCACCCTCAAAAATTGACAGGTACCGGTATCAAAAACAAAAATTGCTACTACAGGTTAGACATGCATAGTTATAATGTTGATTTTACATGGTAGAAGCGCCTTTGCCAGACTTCAAGCCATCCTCCGCAGTGCACAACTCCAAAAAAATCTCTGCTTGACCTTCTGTCTTGCATACATAGCACAACACAAAAAAACTAATGGGGGAAAAAAAAATGACCACAAGCTGGGAGCACATAGCTAGATGGAACGCAACCCCTTCAACATTCTAGAACAGAGATGGCGCAAAGCCTCGCAATGCAAAACAAAACGTCAAAAATCTCCTCACCTTCTCACCGACAGCTCCTGGACCTCCAATACCACCGGGGGGGCCTTGAGCTCCCTGTGGATTCAGCATACTTGACAGTGAAGGCCGCCATACCAATAGAAGGATTGAATTTCATGAGAGAGAGAACACAGACTTACGCTGGCTCCACCTGGTCCCTGGGGGCCACGGGGGCCTGGTGGTCCAGGAGGACCCTGTTAAAAGACATGCATAGAAAATGATGTCTTAAAAGATTCACATTTTGATTCACAAAAAAAAAATGTACATTCGATTCTTAAACACTCACCATGGCTCCGACGTCTCCGTTCTCTCCCTTTTCACCCGGAGGGCCGGGCAAACCCTGGAAGAGGTGCGAGTCATTTGTTAGAGAAGGGTCGGGGTGCACAATTATTTTCATCAATATTGTGAGCACAATTATAAATCACAATTATTGATCATGTATGGGAAAAAGATATTGATTTTTATTGCACTACTTTGCAACTCACAACAAATGAATATTTTCTGTAAAAAATGAAAAGAAATGGATTAGCATTTTAGAAAAAAATGATCAATCGTAACTACCAAAAAAAAAAAAAAAGCCAATAATTGAAGCGCATCCCACAGCATGCTGGCCGATAAATAACAGCAGTGTTTGTGAAATAGATGCACTAATGGATTCGAAAGATGCACTCTTTGGCACACACAGCAAATCGATATGCATTTACTAATGCTCTTTGATACGTCCACCCTCCTCACATCCGGTACCAAATATTCATGAGGAAAAAAAAACCCCATAAAATCTATTTATTCATAGCCCACAGTGAAAAAATCATTAGCGCTGCGCTCTGAGTGGACATCTACTGAAGGGCATTCTTAATTAAAAGAGGGGAGATCAGAGGAGTGCAGGAGGCCCAATTAAAAGTCCATTATGCTGAATGATGACGATATTAGGCCCCACTGGCCGGCTGGCCGGTGGGGGCACGCACAGTATCGAGAAAATTAACTTTGAGATGGTGGAATTAGTTTCTTTTTACAGAAATGTACTTTGGATTAAAAGTCGGTTTGATAGAGGTGAGGCTGCCTCAGCTTCGCCTCAGTTTTTTTTTCCTGTAAACCAATGATGATGATGATGATGATGATGATACTTCTACTACTACTAATAATAATTATTCATTTTTTTAATCATAATATTTTTGTGAAAATAACCTTTCCTTGCTAAAGTTATGACTGTTGGTAAAATGACACTCATAACATGTTTTTCCTCTCAAAATTGTTGTTTTTACTTTTGGTAAACATCTATGTTCAAAATATCAACACTATTTGGTTCTAAAATTGTATTTCTTTATTCCTTTTACCCCTTAAAATAATTGTTTTTTTTTTCCCCCTGTAAGATGATATATTGTAAAATGATCAATTTTACAAATTTCTTTCCAATTGTTTTAAATATCCTTGAGTTCTACCTTTTTGGAGTCAAAAATTCCACTTTTATCCTTGTAAAATGACAACTTTTAGATCTTTTTTTTGTACGATTGTAAAATTGCAACTTAGTTTTCTCCCTAAATTCAACCTTTTTTATTATTTATTTTTTTTTCATGTAAAATGAAGTACAGTATTCCAAAGTGTGACACTGCTCCCGCTCGTTTTTGTTCCCACTCCAGTTAGCTTGATCTTGATTACTATTGAGGAACTTTCTGTAAAAATCGTATCCGCCTAATCATATTCAAAGTTGGAGACGATGATGCTTGATCAGCCTCGCAGACGGTTTTGAGCAGCTTTTTGTGATAAAAGGACTTTGGTTTGGAAAATCTTCTGTCGCTCGACTGCTTGTGTTAGCATCTCGAGCTAGCAACGAGCTCAGTACTCAGTTATCAGGTATCCATGTGCCGTTATTGTGCAAGAGGAGTGTTTCCCGTGTGTAAAATGAGCTTCGGCATCAACAGCAGGTCGGCAATACGCCAAGAGCTACGTTAGCGCTGAATGATTTGTAGCTATGTCTATTCTACGCAGGAGAAGACAGGAGGGGAAACAAAACATGATTTAACCAGGAGCGAGGCCTTCATGAATAAATGATGCGGTGTTTATTCTTTCAAAGTCATGTAAATGAGATGAAATGCCATTAGCAGGAAGTCATTTGGGCTCAGGAAACAAATGACGGGAGGTACATTTCAACAAGGTTAACAGAAAAAGCAAGACGGGAGAAAGGACAAACCTGTAGTCCAATGGGTCCCGGAAGACCGGGGAAGCCTCTGGATCCTTCGTCTCCTTTCTGGCCAAACATTCCCTGTTGTCCGCGGGGACCGGCTTCGCCATCGCTGCCCTTCAGGAGGCCCAAGAGAGAGACATCGTCAAGGTTACACAGTCGAAAGGAGGGTCAATAAGCACTTAACAACACAGATACGTTGAATGGGGCGGATGGTTCCCTTAATGAGAATCCTGAAGGTCGTTTTATGACGATTTGTGCAGCCTTTTATTTTCCTCGTCAGTCAAGATGTGCTCAGAGTCACAAGGTGATCGGCGTTGTATAAAATTTGTCTTCATAAAAGAAGACTTTTTGAGAGGAAAATCGCACCTTTAACAATTTTTTGCCCCCCCAAACAAAATAATTTTAAACACTTTTTTAACCTCCTAAATTCATGTACATTTTCTCAATTGAAAGATTAGTTCTCGAAAAATGACTGAAATAATTATTCTTTATGGGAAATATTTGACCTTTTTTCAACTACCAACAAAAAAAAAACAAAAACAAAAACATCCTTCAACAAATCAGATTCAGGAAACTTTATTTATTCTTAATGTACAATTAAAGGGAAAAAAAGTTAAAGCCTAAAATGATGAAAGTTTTTTTTTTTTTTTTGATTCTGAGATTTTGTTTCTTTTTATTTTAAATGCACAAACAAAGGAAAAAAAAGACAAAAGTCATTCACCGTATATAGTATGAATCCAGACGAAGATTTCTATAAATCTGCTTGGCGTGATCGCAGCAAGAACCTTGTTAAACCTTCCAAAGAATAATCAACAGTGTTCTTGCAGCACTAAGGCAAATGGAGCGCAGACAATGTTGATTCGAACTGACATACGAATGTTCACTAATTGCCTTTTCAACTCGCGCTACCTGCTCTCGGCCAATCTGTCTTCATCTTTATTTTTATCATTCTCGCCCCTCCAGATGTGACTTTTTCCTACTAAAGCTTGAACATTTACAACAACAAGCCGCTCGTTATGCTCCCTCCTCCCGTCGGGTTATGCCCTACTGAAAAAAAAGTCTTCACGTTGCGCTAATGAGGCAGACGTTCGGGCGAGCGTGTTTGGCGGCTCGTCGACATCGGACGTGCTGAGGCGGTTTTTGTCCCCGCCAGCTGCTGATTGGCAGCGTTGACACGCTGATACGCTGCTGTGTTATTTTTATGATAACAATGTCAGCGAGGCTCGTTAAAAAGTTACCCAGCAGGAAGACAAAACTCTGAAATCAATTGATGCAATTCAATGGGGACTTATTATGTCAACATGACTTTTTGATTGCTTGTGTACCAAACGGTTGGGTCATCAAAAGGAGGAATTACACAACCAACCAAATCGTTTGTTTGCTGCCTTTTTCTCAAAATGAGCGCGTACGGATGACATGATTCGACTAATTTACATAATACCACCACCAAATTTCTCCATTGCATGTCTTGGCCACTCGTCTGGGCTGATATTGTCTTTTTTTCTGCTTTTCAAGCCACAACCAGACTAGAGTGAACACCTGCGTATTTGCAGTTCGGCATTTGCATTTTGCGTATTTGCAGATTTTTTTGGGTGCCATCTTGTGGCCAAGGAACTATGTTGAAGCGTGGGGAGGAGCTTCATTTGGTCGGCCATCACCTAGCCTAAAAGCAAAAAGTGCTTATCGCCATCTTGTGGGCTTTTTAGAGTGGGTGACCAAACCATACTTCTACTCAACAATCGGGCCATTCGCCTTGTGGCAACATCAAAACAATCGTTAACAAGAGGATGTAAAATTATTGATGTGGATCCCAGTGTTCTCCTTTCTAACTATTGTTGTATTGGTCACTCATTGAGATGGTCGAAAAGAATGGGAAGTGGTACTCACAGCTGGACCGGGAGCTCCGATCACACCCTGAAGACCACTGGGGCCTGGTGGACCCTGAAGGAAGAGCGATTGCAGTGTTGATGACAATGACACATTCTCATTTTGGACACTTTATATGGCAGTCGGAGACTTACAAGTTCGCCCTTGTCTCCTTTGCCTCCCTTCTGTCCAGGTCCACCAACCTCTCCCTGTGTAACGATACAAAAGCAGCACAGCTCACTTCCCTGAATCTATCCTCCTTTAATTGTCCTTTTCAAAGTCACCTCGACCGTGATTGGCCAGGTAAAGATTTCTCTGGAGATTGTAATTTCATTGGCCTCCACAACAACCTTGAAGTGAGTTTTTGCACTTAATTGATTGTCTGCAGCGTACGTGACTGGAACTACTTTACGCCCACCTTGTCACCATCCTCTCCAGGTGGGCCCTGAGGTCCAGCTGAACCGGGAAGTCCGACAGGACCTTGAATGCCATCGCGGCCAGCGGGGCCCATGGGACCTTTCTCTCCCTAAAGGAAACATGAACGACAGATGACAAATGGAAAGTATAAACCTTGCGAGAATTACCGTTGGAGGGGAAAAGCTACTTACAGGAGCTCCCTTTTCGCCAGCCGGTCCTGGTGGTCCCTGGGGTCCATTGCGTCCAGTCAGGCCGATGGGACCTCCGGGGCCAGCCGCGCCTCTCTCACCTGGGGAACCCTGTAACAGTGAACACATCAGTCAGAACTAGAGCGATTCCAGGATGGAGTCCTTTGATAAGGAAATGTATCTTATTCAAGTGGAGAATAAGTGCAGTGAGAAAACGAGGGATCAAGCCAAGGTACCCAGAGGAAAAAAAAAAGAAACACAAGCACAGGGAGAACATGCAAACTCTACAGGTATGTTTGCTGGGATTCGAACCTGGATCACCTAAATATGAGGCAGATGTGCTAAAAAACAAATGGCTCTGAAACTCAGGCCATTTGATGGGAATTTAAAACGCAGCATGGATGTGTCTCACTGTTGGAATATGTAATAGAATCGTAAAGCCAAAGCTGTCAGATTTGGTCAAAATGATGGCATACCACAGGCTAAACTGGCTGTGAAAATATAAAGCTTGAATGATTGATGTTGTAATCACACATGCTGACGTTCCCACAGCAGCAGGAAGTCAATGTCTCGCGTTTGACATTCCCAAAATATTCCCGCCAATTTGAGCTAAGTGCCTCATCGCGCTCATTCACAGATGATCTTTTCATTTCGGCAAGTCGGCAATCATGTGATGGGTTGACGCTGGAGAGCTGCTTTAGTGGTATAATTGTCGGAAGGCCGTGTTTAATGGTCCGACAAAATGACATGCGTTTCAAAGTCGGCTGTCAGTCAGCTTTATCCCCATTCAGCTGTCGCAAATGCTTTTAAAGCACCGCACTTATTTTTGGAGTACTTGTCCATAAGTGATCCCGTTCGCTCCTCCAATTGGAGCGTGTACGACGAATACCGGGGGAGGTTGTCCTTTTAGTGCGACAACTATGTGAGCCCATGCTTTGCATTGTAGTTAATTTGGAATGAGAATAAACAAGACACACCAAATCGTGTACATTTAAGTATTTACGATACAAATAGTGTTACTTACGATGGGGCCTGGGGGACCCTGGGGCCCCTCTCCTCCCTTTAAGCCAGCTGGACCCTGAGAACACACAGAGAGGAGATGTTGGCATCAAAAAAAGAAGAAAAAAAAGACTGAAGAATCCATGACAAAAAAGATGCAAGAAGTCAGACATTTTGGTTTGAAACAGGCATTTAGGTTCATTTGGCCATTTTCAGATGTCCCTAAAAAAATCATTCTGGAGATTTTGTCTACTACTTTGGGTGATGCTAAGTTGTGAAATTCAAAGATGTAGGTGAGGCCCCATGAGAACATAGACTATTTAATACAGACTATAAAAAGCCTAAAAATATAAAACCCTGAAAATTTAAAGAGACAGCAAGTCTGCTGCTTTGGTTTGAAGTGGCAAATTTTCAGTTACGTTTGGGGAAAAATTTACATTTGGTAGCCTAAATTCAGACCCTGAAGCCAGATTCGGTGTAAACGATTTTGCTTTCGTCATTGCGCGTTGGCAGAGCGTGGCGGCGAAATTTAACGACTCATTACAAAACCCTTAAGAACTCGACTTAATGTACTTTGTATTGGGTAAAGGAATAAGGACATTAAAGTCTATTTCGGGGATGGCTGTGATGTATTTTGCTTCTTGGCTCCACGTGCAAGTGCTGTGTATTCCTGTGCTGAGTCACCACTGCATACGGGGAAAAGGCTGCTTCCCAGATGCAATAAAGGGATTTCATTATCGTAACTCATTCGTGGGCCTCTGACAGCACCAGCGGGGATGGAGGATGCCGAGCGAGCAGAAGATTCCACACACACACACACACACACAACACAAAAAATGATTGCCTGGCTCTCCTCTTGATTCTGAAACTATATACTGTATCTGTATGTGTGATCATAATACTTTGGTTACCTTATTTAACTCCACTAGAGGCACATCGTTCTCTAACTACAACCATAATAATAGACATATCGTGAAGACGAACCAATTTTTTTTTCCTCTTGTATGGTGATTAAGAATGTTATAAGAAACAAGTGATGTACTCCTTCAACATTTGCCATTAAAGAGTGTTTTGCTATTTTCAAATTTTGCATATATTGTACGACTGCTAAAAAAAGGAAATGAAGTCTGTGTTTTTTTTGTCAGTGAATGTTGCTTACCATGGCGCCTGGAAGACCTCTCGCTCCCTGGAAGCCCCGCAGACCTGCAGGACCTGGCTTACCGCCGGGCCCCTGAGGACCAGGATCTCCCTGCAGAGAGACAGACAATCTATTGAGTGACAGCCAGGTGAACACATGCGACACTTGGATGCAATGGTTTTAGATTACCAGCACGTTATAAAAATGCTCTTCAGCTTGAAATACACAGCAACATATGAATAATAATTGCAAATTGGGGATTTAAACTGTGTATTTTTTAATAAGGTGTTTGACTTCAAACAATAATTGTAAAGATGATGGTTGTATATCTCTAGCAAATTGAACCTGCAGTACATTCATTCATTCAACAGTGCCAAAAATGTCCGGGGGGAAAAATATGAATGGCATAAAATGTCTGTAGATCTCTTAAAGTTTCATTGTGACAATCCACATAAAATACTTTTCGTGATAACAAGAGTGCTCGTTTACCTTTCCGCCCTCCTTTCCAGCAGCACCTGGCAAACCTTGCTCTCCAGGTGGGCCTGGGGAACCAGGGTGTCCTCGTTCTCCACTTGGTCCAGTCTCTCCGGTTGGACCCTGACAGCAAACAGCAAAGTTTCTCAATTATTATCAGTATACTTTTTTTTTTTTTTTTTTTTAACCTTTCCTTCTACTTTTTCCTAATGGAATGCATCTGCTACTTGTGCATTTCTTAACGTAAGCGCCGCACAACAAGAACCTACTTGAGGTCCAACCACGCCTCCAGGTCCTGGTGGTCCGGTCTTTCCTTGGAAGCCCTGAAAGGAAAAGTATCAGCTCAATTTTATCCAAAGTCATCAGGGTAGATTGTGAGCTTCGCTGGTTAACTCGGCCTCATGCAAAGAGCAGACAAGATACGTGTTACACAAACTAATCAACCGTCCGCGCAACTTTAACAGTCTGCATTTATCTGGATTGATTTTATTTTGCTTGTTTGAGAGGCAACAACGATGAAAAACTCCCGACTTCAAAACAATCATGCTAGATTGTTATCTTAGCTGGCTAACTAGATAGAAGATTGTGATGGACCAGTCAGCATTTCCAGGGATGTAGTTTAGCCAAAGGTGGATTGGGAGTTCAAGGGGGATTAAGATTAACACTAACCGTCTCTCCTCTCTGTCCTGGGTGACCTGGCAGCCCGTCTTTTCCTGGGGGGCCCTACAAGTAGGGTGCAGGACCAAATAGAGATCATCATTAAAAAAAAAATGTATATATTAATACGAACATTGTGATGGCAATTACTTACATTGGGTCCCTTTGGTCCGGGGAAGCCGACAGGTCCTTGTGGTCCTTGAGGACCCTTTAATGAGAAGAAGTGGTCGGTAAATTGAAATACAGTTTCATGATGTTTTTTTTTTTTTAATCCGTCCATCCAATTTCGATATAATAATCTATATACTGACATGTAAAAACTAACACAAGTTAAAAAAAGAAAGTATTTGGAAAAAATAGATGTTGATTTCAGTGGATTCTTTGATGGGGATAGGGATTAGGCCCGTCCGTCCATGTAAAAAAAGAGGATAGGGTCGCTAAAAAAATTTGCACATAGGTGAATCTGTGAATGCCGAAATGCTAATATGCAGGGATCTAACGTACAGTGTATTGGATCGCAGAATCAAAGCCACCCTTATCAATACAGTATATTTGTCACTTTCAGTAGTGAGGCAATCGAAGAAGAATTTCCCGCAGGCGTACTTTGTGGACAAACATATGAAGACAAAAAATAATAATAATAAAAAAAGTGAAACACGAACCCTCTCTCCGGGTGGTCCTGAAGGTCCATCATTGCCGGAGGTGCCCTGAGGGAGGACAAAAAGATAACACCCAATTTCAGCTTTCGCAGTTCAAGGTCACATTCAGACCTCACGTAATTCATACATGAATTGGCTTATCACCTTTGCTCCTGGTTTTCCTGTAGGCCCTCTGGCACCACGCCCACCACGTGGACCCTACACACACACACACACACACACACACATTTTGCTGTCATCGAAGGAACTAAATATTGTCCTGAAAATACGTAGGCAATGAATGCACCGTGTCCCCCAATCAATTTGATCTCACCCCCTCCAAAATCAAAACACCACTGTCATTGTTGTTTGAAGCAACATAAATCATTCATGATTCAGATGCATGAAATTGCCTACCGTCGGGCCGCGTTGGCCTCGAGGTCCGGATTTGCCAGCAACTCCCTGACAGAAACAACAAACAACACCAAAACAAGCTTCAAATTAGGGGCAAGTGCAAATAAAATTTAATGACTTTGCACAAGAGAATATGAGCATCTTGAGACAAACAAAGGGTCAAGGTGTTTGATATGAATATCACATATCCCACTGGCAATTTGTGGGGAACAAAGCTAAATTAAAGTGGGAAAAAAACATTGTTAAAAATAAATAATTGCAAAATACAATTCAAATGTGAAATAAAGTGGTTGACATAGAATCTATGTCATCAATGATTATTTTCAACATTGGAAGGGCTGTTAGCTGGGCTTTCCTTGAATATAAAACAAAACTGACCCTTGCGCCTTTCTCGCCATTGGATCCGGCGAAACCGGGGAAGCCATTGGAGCCCTGCGAGAAAAACACAAAGAGCAAATTGGAAAGCAGCACAGGTAAAATAAAAAAAATAAATAAAGTAACAATTAAAAAAAAAACAAATACAGGGTTACATTTAAATCAAAATTAGCATGTTTTACAAATAATTGCAACATTTAAAAACACAATAAATTAAGGAATACAAGAAGTAAAAATAAAAATACAGTACACATATGAAAATTAAGACTAGATGCAAAATTAATTAATTAAAAAAACTGACTAAGGAGTAAATGTAGCCGGTTTTCCATTCTAACAAATACCTAAAAAAAACATACAGTAATTAAAAATGTAAAAAAAAAACTTGCTCATTGGAGTGCAAGAAAAATTCTCTCACAATTGGTGAAAAACTAACTGAATGAACTATATGTCTGTCAAAACTTAATTTCCAGCCAGTCAGGTTTACATTATGAAATTATGAAGTGCATGTCAGTTAAGTGGATTTTCCACATACTTTGGAACCTTGTCTTCCAGGGTATCCGGGCAAACCGGGCACTCCAAGCTTTCCCTAAACAACAGAGGAAAACACAAATCTTTAAAACAAAGTCATCTTCAATTTGGACTTCAGTCTTGGCATCTGATCGGTTGCTTTACCTTCTCTCCAGCTGGACCGATGGGACCGGAATCTCCGTTGGGTCCCGATGTGCCCTTGGGGCCCTCGGGTCCGTCTTCTCCGCGGGGTCCTGTTACACCCCCCTCACCCTGGATGTCCCCCCAAACAAACACTTCTTAATGTTTGCTTTAAATTTTAGTTTTGAGACGTCCTGCTGAAAACATTTGGAAAAAAAAAATTACCTTGTCGCCCTTGAGCCCCATATCGCCTTTGAAGCCAGGGAACCCATCTTCTCCCTATATGGAATTAAATGCATGAATATGTTGATGATACTCTATAGTTTGTAAAACAGCACATTGCAGGAACACAAGAAGAATGTATGTTTGCCGACAGTGCTCCCCAGTGGCAATTTGGATTAAAGCAGATAAACCACGTTAGAGTTCACATCTGCGTTACTCTATTGCCATCTGGTGTTATGAAAGAAAAGTGCAGCATCATGGTTCTGAAACTAATGGGAATACAGTACTGTATACTGTACTAGAGTAAGCAGGAATTGTCACTTTCAGTAAAGAAAAGGTGAAACGTTGTGGGGGAAAAATACATATAATATGAATTCAAAATCTAATAAGTCAATGGTGATGCTTAAAATGAACGATGGGGTTCTGAAACTAATGGGAATACAGTACTGTATACTAGAGTGAGCGGGAATTGTCACTTTCAGGAAAGAAAAGGTAAAACGTTGTGGGGAAAAATACATATAATATGAATTCAAAATCTATTAAGTCAATGGTGATGCTTAAAATGAACAATGAAATGAAGCAATATCAGAAAAAATATGAATAAAATACAGGAAAATATTCAAAATAGTTTCTACTACAGCAATAAAATCCCGCCAAAATTTAAGCAATAATAAATATCATCCCCCAAAATATCATACAAATAATAAATTTAAAAAAATCTACATTTCTGATATTCAAAATATTCTGTTTGGCAGTTTGCAAAAAACAAACACATTTCCAGTTGCGATTGTTCATGGTACAATGTATTATTATTAAAATTAGTCATAATTTAATAGAATCAAAATATTCATGTAAGAGCATATAGTTTGCAAAAATACTGCAGCACCAAAAAAAAGTACATGAGGAGAATGTAATACTTTAGATTTTTTAAAAATATTAATTTTGGTTCATTTCAACATTGCAGTTTGTAAAATAATTGGCCATTCCATCAATTTCCAGTCATTTCCAATGCAATGTCATGAAAAATCTCCAACTGCATGGAAGGTTTCCAGAAACTTGCCCGATATGTAATTTAAAAAAAACAAACATTTTCACAATGAACTGTAAAGTTGAGGTATTTCTTGGCAAAGCAGTACTGTATGTAACCGCACAGTAAATCTTGGTGCTTGCATTGGAAAGTCTCAAACGACACAAGGTGGCCAAATCCATTCAAACAATCGAATCCCCAAACTTTTCTTTGTTCAAATGTGTGGTTGGGGCCTTCCAAAAAAGTGCTTCCCATTCCTCGTGATTCGTGGTTGTCTACACAATCAATCTTTGCCAATATCAGAACTGCTTTTTTTGGAAGACATAAAATGTATGTTTACCTTTTCTCCTTTGCCACCTTTCAGGCCTCGGATTCCCTCTGCTCCCTGGATAAAACCGCAAATCAAGTTAGATCTTAACTTAGGGGATATTTGTCAGTTTTGTCCAAAGTGTGATGAGCGCTCACCTTAACGCCACGAGGTCCGGGGTAGCCGATGGATCCCATTGGTCCGGGGAAACCCTGAGGATGAGGAAAAAGTGTTATTTATTTGAGTTTATTTGATACATTTCCATTGATTTCCCAGAAGTATGTAACAAGTTACACATGTGGAAAAGACTGACAAGAATCTGAACTCAATTATACACAGTGAAAAAGTCAGGTGAAATGCTCTCATATTTAGGTCACGCAAAATGTGTTCCATACACTGTGCATCATAGGGACAAGTTGGGCAGTGGGCCACAACATCCACCAGATGGCAGCGTGATTTAAAAAAAAAAAAAGCCTGTTATTTTTAGCAGCAATAAATTCAGTGCAATTTTTTTTTTTTTTTTTTTTTTTGGTCACTG